GCGGTGTCTTCGGGGGCTCCGAGGGAAGCTGAGGGTGAAAGGCAGCCATGCTCGGGGACTCGGCAACGTTAACTCGTGGCTCACCGTGACTGCCCGGTATTGACGTCGGTAGGACTCGGCTCCAGCAGAGGTGGACGTAGAGCACTGCTGGAGGGAAGTACGCTTTCCAGGAAAACTTTCAGGCGCCAGGTCCCTCTGGTATGAGGCATTGCTGACGCAGCGCGTGCTGTGCTACATGGGTCTTATAGGTGATCTTGTAAGGAAGACTGCAAATGTGTTGCAGGATCATGTTTATGTATTCCTATAATAATTGTTTCTTAAGGTGTATGGACAGACAGGGGCCCATTGGAAAAGTTAAGTTGAGCCAGATGAGGAAGGCAAGTATTGGGAGCACAGTATGTAAGACACCTCCTTTTGCTACAAACCCTACAGTGGTAAACAGTGGCTAAAACTTGGCAAACAAATGTAGCAGTGGCTCATGTACTTAGTGCCTGAAGAAAATGGAAGCACGCTAAGGAGCTTATAGAAATTTTTAAGATGTCATCTTTAGCTTTTTCTTTGCGTTTTATGTATATTCTTATATTATAGAAGGGGAGAATGATCCCAGAATATTTCATTTCAGAAATTCACATTCTCACTATTTCTGTTTGCTGAGTGGGGGGGAGGAATCTATGATGAAAGCAAGAAGTGGTACTCCAAAGTGGTACTCTCTCAGAGAGCAAGAGTGAAACTCACTGCTCTTTACTTCCAGCATGACAACAATCTGACAACCCCACAGAGAGATCTTAAGTAAAAGCTGGGTGGGCAGCCTAATTCACATCGCTACTAACTGTACTTTATTAACTTTTTGTAACTCTGCTCCTACTTTGTAATCCAAAATTGCATCTTTCACTCAGACAGTGTAAAAATAGACTTACTGCCTCAGAACAGGACACATTGGAAAGATGGTTCCAGGTAGAATGCTGGCAGCAGAGAAATAATGCAGCATTGTCTCTGCCCTTTGACATGGAGTATAAATAACCCATTCTGTATATCTGACATACGAGTCTGCCTTGTGTGTGACATTGTCATACTGTTGCCTGATAATTGCAACAGAGGCCATTTAAGTTCAGACAGTGGGGAAAGACATAACATGACAAAGTAGACACTGAAATAAACTGTCATAGGAAACTGCAGACTCTAAACCCACATCCATGTGGTATGGCATGGCTAGAATTGAACATGTCTTAAGTCAGGGTAGACTAGGTTATGGACAAGGCTCTTTCCAGCTCCATTTCCTGCAATGAGGAAATGTCAGAGGAGCCAAATGTGTGCTAGAAAACATGACATGTTGGAGGTCAGAGATATGACAGAGAATTGCAATAGTAAGGTGATGCATTCTTATAGCACTTCCATGTATTTGCAGCTCATAGAATAAAAAGAATCTCTGTAGTCACCTAATTGAATTATCTCAATAATGCGGAAAACAGAGATGCCAGATCCTTTTCATTCAAGCCATATCCTGACACACTTGGCAATGTGACATCTGGCAAGTTTCTCCAACTAACCCTTTGTTCAATTCAGTTACTGTCACCTCTAAATTAATTTCCTGGATTCCACAAATTAGGAGCATGAGAGGACATGTGACACACGCTACAAATGTGTTTTGCTAAAAGCTTTGCAAAGACATTACAGGCACAGTGGAGAAGCCACGTCTATCTAAAATCAAAGCTTGTTGCTGTACTGGTACCACCAGCCATATGTAACACTAGAATGCACGTGTTCAGACTGGCTTTCGTGAGCTGCCCCAGAATCAGAAGCAATGGAAGCAGCAGACACTTGCACGAAATTCTTTCCAAGCTGTGTGAGCCGGCAAAGGCAGGACACAGGAACAACCACAAAACCACGGATGAAATGCAAAGAGTAAATTTATTTTCGTTACCTCACCAACCGAGGGATCCCCGAAGCAGCACCCGGGCAGAGGCACACGAGCGGGGACGCATGCACTGCAGAGCTTGGTCCGTGCGAGAGGATCCCCTGCTGCTTTCACCTGTTTATCAAGGATTCATGGAGGTGTAGTTTTACCATTGTGCTTTGATCTTTCCCATAGCAGGGCAGGAATCTCAAGCATGTTTGATAGGGTGCCTCTGGGTCTATCACAGGCCTTTGTTATCTAAACACAGATGTTCTACTTGTCCAACCAACACACAAGGCCAAACAACAATTAGTATGATATATGTGTTTTTCTATACCCCAGCTATAAGTCACTTGAGTATGCTTACAATCCTCCTTGCCACTCTTCTGTTATTTTCCCACACAAGCTAATAAACCATGCGAACAATCAGAAAGTTAAATATGTGAAGTTACCCTGTAATCTACATGTTTTAGATGGGTCGTGATTTTGTTTTATTCAGGTTATCTCCTTTGATATCCTGACTAATCAGAAGTTTTTCAGTTTATTTTTGCACTCTTCTGTTTAAGTTTGTAATGAGGAAGAGCAACAAAGTTGCTATAGACAGTATACGTACAAAAGCAACAAATACATTTTGTTAAAGGTAGGCCAGATTTCTACCATTTTCTTGCCCATTACTGATTCCACTGGAGTACTTGACATTAGATGGGGCAGATTCTTCCATCATCTGAAGAATTTAAGATAAGTAATAAATCCTTTGCTAAAAAAATATGTCATCCAACAACTTCATAGAATGATTGAGCAGATTTCCTTAGCCTGTGTGATGCAGTGGGGCAGACTAGATGATCAGAAGATCACCTTCAACTTCAAAACCAATAAACCTACATTCTGGTCCCAGAGACTGAGTCAGAGGTAAGGTATTGCAGTAAGCTTCAGTCTTATAATGCATCTACAAATTCGTCCTGAAATAATTGTTATTTTTCTTTAGGACTGTTCACAACTCTCTCTGATGTGCCACCTAGAATTTCAGTGGCTATCATTATCAGTCCAGTTCCTATCTGGAGCCACAGGAGAATGTTTCTTATCTAGGAAAAAACATATTCAGGCCTGTTTCTTCAAGAAAAAAAAAGATCAGGATGGAAGCTGTCTGGACAAACAACTAAAATTATATTTCAGATGATGTGACATTTACAATTACTTTGCTTTGTGTAACAGTATTGCTAATGTAAAGTGATTAAAACATAGAAATTTCAGTTGAATATCTGTATTTGGAAAGACATAGAAAAATAAGAGTCAAAAACTATCACAGAGGCATGGTTTTCATGTAACAACGACAGGTTAAAGGTGACTGGCAGACATGTCTACTCATAAAATAACGATTCAGGCCGCCTGGGAGGGCTCCTGTATTTTAAATGTTCAGTTAGTTCCATGTGGAAAAATCAGGTACTTCTCCAACAGGAAGATGACTGCATGCAGCTCCAAAATGCTTGGATTGAACTTTGCTCCTCTCTCCATACTCCTTGGTTTAGAAAGCACTCTTGGTTTCTGGGAACATGGAATATTCATTTTAACGTCCTCCTTCTCGTTCCTTATTAATGCAACGTCTCTTGATCCCTCCATCTCTCAAGTGTTTCACTGCAATGAGGTTCACAGATGGTGCATATGGAGAATAGGGACATGAGAGGACACAGGACAGAAGCTGGTCATGTGGCTTAATCCAAGAACAGAAGGCACATAGATAGGCACAGTTTAAGAACCTGAGGAGAAAAGTCTATGGTCTGGATCATATTCTGAATGTATCAATTCACTCACTGAACTTTAAGTACAGGCCCCGTCTATCTGACTTTTCAAAAGCAGAGAATACTAGATGTTATTAGAATCAACAAAAAATAGCCAGCCAGATCACCTCTATAACTTCTTTCCAAATTCAGTGCCACCTTGAATGGGAAAAAGATGTCAAATGGGAGTTTCCAGTGGACTTGAGGCTGGCCTCGTGGAGGTTCTGGCCATTCCGTCATGTCAGTGAAGGTAACGACAGTTGTCAAAGGTACCGTGCTTGTGCTTAGGAACTGTAACAAGAAGGAAAGCACAAAGAGTTTAGCAAGCTTAATACAAAAGATGCATCTCCTCGATTTGCTAATGGAGACCCACTGTAGATGACTGGCAAGCAAGATGTCTTTAGGATGGCAGGCGTTAAGAGTTCAGATATATTCTTTTAGTGGAGTAACTTCTCTTTCCCAAAATTGATACTTAGCAGGTAAATTGAGGATACAGGTCTCAGGAAAGATCAGTAGCTACTGTGCATCATATGTTACAGATCTCCAAAATGGAAACAGAATGGAAGCCAGTGACTCCTGAATAGAGGAAGCCTTCTATTCAGAAGAAAGACATATCAGCTAGTTCGTAATAAGAACAGAAGCAAAGCTAGCTTTATTTTTTATAAAATTATATATTTCATGTAAGATAAGATCACCTGGCCCTTTGAACAGGTGATTGCTGCCAGAAACAGATAGGACTGCCTCAAGATTTGATCCCTTCAATAAAATATCAATAAAATAAAGCAGGGACCCAATACAACAATGAATTTATTTCTCACATTTTAGGATATTGTTTCAGAAAGGAGACAGATTGGTAGGTAAGTTGGTAAAGATGGAAGAGGGGACTGAACTTCTAAGACCTCAGTGCCTTTCTGTTCCAACAGAATGCTGTAAGACAACTAATACACTCGCTCCTTGAGTTATGTGGAGCTTCATGGCTAGCTTGGGTAAGACCATGCTGCTGCCAAAAGAGCAGCCTCACTCCCTGCCCCGGCTTCCCAGCTCTGCATTCTAACCTCAAGAGAGGGAATCTACTAGAGCATACCTTCTGTGCTTGTACTGGTTTAAGCCAATCTGTGAAATCATCACTTCTTTCACTTCCCTGGAAACAATCTGGAAGATTGCCTTTAGAGCAAAGTTGTGCAGGAAGCACTTGAAAAAGCTCCAAAACAGAATTCATGACTCTTAAGAGAAAAATACTGAGACTCCTGTTGGGGAATTTTTGTGATACCTCTCGAGGCAAATTAAAGACACATTTGTGCTTAAATATAAAAGAAAACTGTAATGAATAATGCATTGCGCAGAGTCCTACCGCAATACATGGTTCTACATGGAGTCTGCAAAGATGCGTCACGAGCAGATTCCTTATGTACACTTGCACCAGCACCAATCCTGAGAGCGTCAGCCTGGCTGTGGGTCCATCACTCAGCCCAGCTCTGCTGCCCGAAGGTGGCCCCTGGGCTTGGGCCCCTGAGCATTCCCATTCCAGGATGGCTACAAGACAATGCTGAGGCTGTTTCTTATCTCATCACCAAGGGAAACTTCACACCCTTGCAAGGAGTCTGTCTCTGGCTGGCATCCCTGCTTCCAGCCAGTTTAACCCCTTCTTGCAGTTGGGCCTTCTTGCCCTCCATGCTAGATCATTCCTCGGTCACAAATTACCACTGCTGAGCAGTTACAGTTAGAATTTCCCCTTCACTCCTGATGGATAGAAGTTCTCCTATCGATGACTAAACACAGTAGGCACAATTGCCTTAGTCAACAAGAAGCCTCAAAATGATTCTCGCTTTGTGTCTGGACCTTCAGAATCTGCCTTAAAATCAGAGAGATTAGTGGGGAAAAAACCCCATACACAACCCCTCCTCAACAGCTGGGAGAAAGCAGCCACAAGCAACTTCCAGCATGCTCCTGTATAGCTCTACATCATTTAAGACTGTCTTCTATTTTCAGGAAGTCCAAATACAACTGTGACCAGATATTGTGGATGGGTGTAGAAAATGGGATGTCCTTTCCGGGTTCTGTGTTTTCTGGTCAGTCACTAAGGCAACTCTCCAGTGACACAGTGTGGTCTAAAGGAAAAGGTTTTCTCTAAAGAATGGATAGTTCTTGGATAGTGAATCTGTAGGCTAAAACTGGGAAATGACATAATTTAAAAGTAAAGCAATATACAGCACGCATTGATGATCTCACCGGTATGCTTACAAATGGCTGCAATTCTTAACTGCTGGGTATGGTACTGACTGGTACCTTTGCTAAGGTGTCTTTACCAACAACCCTAATTTGTGGATTGCCACTGATGAAGTTGGTACTGATTTTAATGGTGTGGTTTTTTCTTGCTGCCAGAAACTTGCTTTCTTATCATTGCTTGCTATCTTATCATTTGCTTGCTGATTACTTACAGCTCTAAAGTAATTAGCATCATGTTGCTCAAGCAGATGAAATCTGAATCTCATAGTTCCTGACTGGCTAATCCTTACTCAGGGGTGGGCAACCCTGCACTTTTACTAGGAATGCAAGTCTCCCTCCTCAGACAGAAGTTTTGTTAATGGAGCCATGTAACAGCTCAGATTTAGAAAATACCTTCGTGGGGCAGGGGTGTCAGTTTGCCTCAGGGCAACATGTGTTTTACAAGGTGAACATTTTCCTATCATGTTCTTTTCATGTATGTTGCAAGAAGGGAGGACGAAGAGGTACCATGAGACACATCCAAACAAGTGATGGAAAATCTCATTTAGACTGAGTCTGAAGTTCAAAGACTAGTAACAGATCAGACAGACACTTGCCATGTCATACCTCACTGCCATGAGAATGGCATGGGCAGTCAGCTGCTCCCCCTAAAGCCCTTGCAGAGAAGAAGTATAAGCCTTGAAATATACGTGCTGCCCAAAAGACTTTGTGATGTCGGGAATCCAGCCTTGCACCAAAATGGGATCCACTGACACATGCTTGAAAAAGACTATTCATTCCCTTTTGTGGGCCTGTTAGGTCCACCTTCTGCTGACATCATAGAATCAGGGTTGGAAGGGACCTTTAAAGGTTATCTAGTCCAACTCCCCTGCAATGAGCAGGGGCATCTTCAACTAGATCAGGTTGCTCAGAGCCCCATCCAACCTGACCTTGAATGTTTCCATCATGTAATCTTCTCTTAGAAACCTGCTTTCTGGCCTACAGCCTTTCCCTCTAATTCTTCAAATGCCATCAGCATTAGCCTCTTCCTCAGCTAGCTGTTGGTGATTTCAGAATCCATAGAGGAATAGAAATATCTTCTTGCACAGATTATCAGCATGCTGTGGAGTCTGTGAAATATAAATCAACTCAAATTCCGTATCGAGGCTTTAAGAGACAACTAGATAAACATGTAGTTATTGAATGTTTGTAACTACAACTTTATACCGAGCATAATTAAAAGTTTAAAGTTTGAGTCCTTTAGTGGCAGAAGGTGGTTTGAAGTTGGAAAGAAGGTACCTTTTCCAGTTGTACAACTGATTCAGGACGGTACTGGTAAGACCATAAAACCACCTTCCCCTATGGAGCTGTTAAATACAATCTCTTGCCATTGCAGCCAGAACACTGCTAAAGTTCAGTAAATCTCAACTCAGTAACATCAACACTATTTGATTCCTTGGATCTTAAATAACCTGTGAATCCCATTTAATTACCTCTGTGTGTAAGGGAGGGGTTTTAAATTCCATACCTTCAGGGGGTGACACTGATAAAAGTAGCGTGCATCCAGTATTTGAGCTTGTGGGTTGGACAGGAGGCCCACCTTAGTCCACAATATCTGTATCTCCAGGGTCACAGGAACCATGCAACAGGAAGTGCAATTCACAGCCTGAAAATAAAATATACTCCAAACATTTTAATATAGCATTTTCAAGGTGGAAAAGGACCGTTATGGTCAAAGTCTAATATTTTGGATAGCATAGGTCACAGAACTTGAATCAGTCACTTCAGCAGTAACCCCGTAACTTCTGGTAAGGTCAGCCACCCATTTTAGAGCTATATCCATCTTGTTGTCATCTCATTTCCAAACAGAATTTGTCTGAACTCTACCATTTGGATTTTGCATTCTACTAGGCCATCTCCTGACGGATTAATGATTATTAAAATCGAATTTCCCTCCGCCATAAGTACTCCGATCGCAAACTTTTACCCTTATTAGGTAATACATAAATATCCCTAGAAGCTGGAAAATCAGAAAGGATCATAATAATAAAAGCATCAAATTAATAGGAAGTAACCAGGTAGTATTAGTTCTAGAAGGCTGTCAGAATACTAGGTAATGCAACACAGGATTCAGTATTAAACTCTTTTTGTCCATTTAAATAGCAGGAACAGGATTCAAGAGATATTAAATCTGTCAGGGTCTTTTTTTTTCTGTTTAGTAAGTATCCTAATAACATGAACGATAATAAAAATGACTGCTTACAGGCATTAAGACCGCTGAGAGTCAGTAGATCATCACACAAAGAAAGTAAGAAAAGGTTCTTTTTTTCCCATGCCCATGCTTCCCCAAGGCAATACAAAGATATGAAAGGAAAAATATTCACAGCTGGTCTTTTTGCATTCATATTACCTGCACACTGCAGTTCTGAATCAGAATGGATGTCCACTCTTCTGCCTGGGTTGAATGAGCACTGCCAGTTATAGCAAGGTCTTCTGCTCTGTTCATCCCCTGAAGCACCTTATATAACTTCTGCTGGATGTAACTACAGTTACTTTCTTCCAGTACTGTGGATAGGCTGGAAATGAGAAAATAACAGATTTGACAAAGTGATTTCCAGGACAGAAAAAAAAACGCTTTCAACATCCTTCCTTCATAATGAGTATTTCTTCCGCTCTTGTAATGAGTCAACAGAATAATTACAGAAGTGTTGGTATTAAATGGATGCAGTTTCAATCCTCTCTGCAATGAGAAGGGAGAAGAACATGGCAGGGTAACATACGATGAGGAAAACTGACAACTCTTTAGACATCATATCACATCAGTGGTTGTACACCTGCCCTGTCACCAACAAAAGAATGATCCAAATCATCAAAAAAATCACTTTTTAAGGTTCCATTATAATTCACTCCTCAAATACAAACTCTACTCTTGCCCAAGACATGTTGCCAGACTACAGCCTCAAAATGTCCCAGAAGACCTTCACAATGTTCAGATTGTTCTAGAGGTCCACCATCTCTCTGATATTCAAGTCCTCTTAGGAGTATATGAAAGATCGGTAGAGACCCATTGGTGACCTCGGGGAAGGACCTAGGCTCCACAACAGTGCGTGAGAGTCTACAGAAAAACATGCTAAGTGAGTCCACACCTTCCAAATGTGTCAGGAAGGGTGACTGCAGAGTGTGTTGCTACCTGAGCTTGCAGCCTGTCCTCATATTTCTTCCAAATTGTACTGTGTGTCTGAGGAACTGTGAGCAACTTCCATCACCTTCGCTCTGTAAAACGCTCATCTGACAGACTGCAAGTCAAGAAGCCAAACAAAACCATAAACAGACAATATAGGACACCCAACTTGTATTTAACAATCCTCTCACCCCACATTCATCCTTATCCCTGTCACAGGACTACAATTCAGTCATGACCAAAAGGCCTGCTGATGACTGCAATGTAATACTGAGGTATGCCCTCACAGGTAAACGTAGAATCTCAAAAGCCCAGACAGTAGAGTACCAGAAGTCAATAAACCCAGTGATAAATAAAACTTGATAGCAGGAAAAGGATACATGCTGCATGGCACCACTGTTTGCAACCAACAGTGGTGCTCCAGTGATATAGCCAGGGTTTCCACTTCTAGGCAACGTATGAGAAAGAGTCCTGGTCTACAAAGAGGCAAAGGGAAGAAAGGAAGGAAGAGGAAAGCATTAGCACCAATGAGATCCATTCATCTCAGAAGATCAAATTCACATTCTCAAAAATGTAAATGTAATCCATTTTTTGAATGACTGAATGTTATGCACTACTATAACCTCCGTTATTTCCTTCCAAATCCTCTTTCTTACCTGGCAAGTTCATCTGCAGTCCAGGAGGTAAAAAACTAAATGTCAGTGTCCTGAAATGTGGATACTACCAGGACAGTTTTTGAGACAATGAATTCCTATTGCTCAGCATTTGTCTCTAAGGAAGTGAACATACCAGTCTGGGCAATTCTACAGATGATCTACAGAACAAACCCTGCCTTGACTCTGATTCTGAGTGTCAGATTCCACTTCTAAATTGTTTTATGGGGAGAGCCTCTGGGGATAACTTCAGCAAAGTTGCACTGCACACTTATTAACCCCTGAGGTCACCACTTATACCACTTTACATTGCCTCTATGGGACAAGGTTTATATGAATGTCAACACACGCTAGTATTTCCCAGATTTCCACCCCCTCCAAAGTAACTCTTTTTCCCGCTGCATGGGCAAAGTTAAATAAGTACCTAGAATAAATTTAGCAACTTTGTTCACAAACACTGAACACCTCAGATACAGCACCAGCTCCAACCCTTTCCTTCACAAGACCATGCTGGTGACCCTGATCTCATCCCTTCCCCTTCTCCCCCCCTAAAAACAAAAACCCAAACCAAATCAAAACAGCAGCAAAAAATAGTCAGATAAAAATAATCAGCTCCTCCAAACTTGTGCAGTGCAAGACTGCATACTTGCACTGAGCCTGAATTTTTCTACTAACATGGTTTACTTGAGACCAGAGCAGTGTCCCCTCCTTCCTTTGACCACCAGCTGTGTCCCAGGGTTCTGGTACTACAATACCACAGTGACACTGCTCTAATCTTTTCACATCTCGTCTGTGAACTACAGACGACAAACCTGGTAAGAGCCCAGGGAGGATGAGGGCACTGACCCAGAAGTGCAAAGTGAAGTGCTGCTGCAGAGAGGATCCTGAGTTCCCAGAGATGTTGCTCACTTTGAACCGGACAGAAACACTCTGAATCCCACGTGTGCCACTGAATTCGATCTCATAGATCACCTGAAAGTCCAATTCAGAGAAGAATCAGAGGCAGAGTCAGGTAATAGGGCAATGACTCTAAGCTAGTGTTGGGCTGCCCAAAGGAAAGAAGATTCAGATACCTCAGAAACAACATTGTTACATGTGTTGTCTTTCATGTGGGGAGCTCCAGGTGGTGCGACTGCGGTGACCTTTACCTGGAGACAGTAAGCATATTAACAATTAGCAATTGTTTAAAAGGAGTGTGCCTTTCTTACTCTTTTCCACTGCTTTTCCATCGAAGTCAGATTTACCTTCCTGCTGTTGCTGTGATCTGAGGGCACATCACCCTGCTCCAGATTCCCAATTTTTTCTAAGAAAACGAGCTACCTCCCTGACTCCAGCCCTATCTATGCCCATTCATTTAAAAGTACATCTTTCCTTATATCCCTATTTTTTTTTCTATAATGTCACACTTCTGTCCAAAAAATCTTGTCTCAGACACAGAACATTCCCATTCCCCGAAGTTCCCAACCCATGGGCATTACTATGAATGCCTAAGATTCCAGATATGTTTTATTTCAGAAGCAGAAATTATTTTCATTGGTAATAGAGACTGACCTTCATGGACTGCACAATGGTGTCATTAATTGGGACCTGGGGAAAACAAACAAACCAACATACAACACCAAAAAAACAACCAATTTTCTGGGTTTGCAAGTGCCTAAAGTCATGAAACCATCACTACATAGAGCCCACATATTATATTGATAAAAATTAACTTGTTTATTCCACATGTGTAAAACTTGTCATCAATCTGGCCTGTTTAGGAGACTGGTTGACAGA